TACGTGAATAATGATTATGATGGCTGAGTCTGTGGGGCAATTAATCAGACAAAAATAATTATGATAATTTGAAAAAAAAATTGTGTGAAATGTTTACTCTTTTGGCACAACTGTTTCTCATAGTAGCTTTTCTAATTAGCTGTTGAATTGTAGTTTCCCGTAATGTTTGCTGAGAGTTTTAGGTCGCAGAGAGAGAAAACTTGTTATCTAGTCAGGTTAATGCTAAATCAATAGTATACAAGTAGAACAACTGAGCGTGTATTACAGTAGATGAAACTCTGCTAGTCTTATTACAATTAATCAAGTAACAGAAAGTGTATTGATTGGCACTCATAGAAAGAAGTAGAAAGATAGAAGAACACACTAGACAACATAAAAATCGACAGCTATAATTACCGTACCAATGAATAAACCTGTCATCTCCAGACGGCGTGTGCGCCTAGCCATGGATACAAGTGCACTAAGAACCTGGTAACCTAGGCACCCCCACAAAAAAGGTGTCTTATTGGCCATGTCTGTCGTACAGCTTGAAATCCACAACTATGGAATACGGACAGAATTCATTTCAAACCATTGAAATGGCACCATAGGTTACAGAAATTTATATTAACGAAGCATATGTCGAATAACAATCACAGCAACAACTTACGAACACAGTAGACCTTAATGCTTTGTCCAGAATTCACAAACATTTAAGGAAGGTTTTTGATTGGTAGGTTCCAGTGTGTGTACGTCATTCCTATAAATAAACAGAGGGGGTACCTTTGAGGCCATTAAATGTATGAAATAATCAAGCTTATTACCTGTTGTCTGGATACTAGACGCAATTTTTCGTTTTTTTAAACCTAACCCCGGCTGTAGTCGGCGGCTGTAATATAAAATAACGGTTGAACGGGGTTTCTGAGACATCTCCCGGGTGATCCTCATATGCAAAGTGGCACTTTATGTCACCGAGTGTTTATCGCTTGGTGGATGTCCTGGTAGGGCTGAATCTCACTCACTCACTCTACTAGTCTAAGCATCGGTCGCACAGTTGGTTTGCACAATGTTTGTATATGTATGTATGTGTGTGTTGTGCGTGTATATGTATACACACATGCGAGCGCACAAACAGCGGAACTCCTATTATCCGACTCGCAATTGTCTTCACATTATTTTTTGACCCATGTTAAAAAAAAAGGGAAATAAGGAATAATTTACTTTGCCAAGTCGTTGCAAGCGAGTGTCACTTTAGGAGTGAGTGACGTTCAATCCCACTAGGACCACACCACAAGCGATTAACACCCAATGAAACAAAGCGCCACCATTCGGATGAGAATCACCCAAGCATAAGTCCCAGAAACCGCAAACAACTGTTAGGTTATATAAGCGCTTCTGACTACTGTTGAAATGGGGCTTTAAAATAATATAAACCATTACGTCCCATACGGGAGCGGAATTCGTGATTTAACTTTTCCCGCAGTTAATTGGACATTGTAAATGTCATCTTACAATATAAGTACTATTTTTAATCTTTACAGTCTTTTTTTTTTGGGTAATAAACGTTCAAAATGCACAGTACATTTCGCAAGATATACATAAAAAGTCCGACAATTAAGTAATCAGACTGATTTGATTATGGCTAGGACTAAAAGGCCATCTATGGAGCAAAACATGTAATCCAAAGAGGCAACCTTCATCTATGATCTAGAAACTTTTGATTGCCGCCTGATAAGCAGACAGCAAACAAGCCGCCATTTTGTTGACCTAGTCAGGGGTGCATTGTTACGTAATCGGCATAGAGCAAAAAGCCAACATTAAATTCTGTTCAAAACTCAGAAAACGGGCCATAGAAACAGCTGAATTAATGCCACACGTTTATGGGAATTATTGTTTATCTTGTGCACAAACATTTAGGTGGTATTCACGATTCAAAAGTGGTGTGGAAATGATTACTAATGCACCTAGACGTGGACACCCATAACGAGGATGTCATTTCAAAAGTCAGAGAACGGATACATAAAAGATAATTTTTTGACTGTGAGGATAATGGTAGATGAATTTGGGGTTAATAGAGAGACCGTTAGCAACATTAAAGTGCAAGATTTCGGCAAGAAAAAATGTTGCTTGCTGGTTTGTACCTTCTTCATGAAAATGCTCCGGCTTACCGGGCGTTAGTTGTACACGAATTTTTGGCCCTTAAATGAGTGTGTGTTCTCAACCATGCACCCTACTTCCCAGATTTGTATCAATGTGATTATTTTCTATTGCCAAAATTAAAGTTACATTGAAAGGACGCTTCTTTGATGATATTGATGACATCCCAAAGGCCGTAACATCGACTTCAAGGGCCATAACAACAGAAGAACTATTGAGATAGTTCCAGCGTTTGTTAGATCGTGCCACTTGCTGTTTTAATGCACAAGAGACTTACGTTGTATGAATGATATACAGGTTATATCTTCAACTATTGATGATTTTTTTAAATGGAATTAGTCTTATTACTTAATTGTCGGACCTTGTACACACACACATATATATATATATATATATATATATATATATATATATATATATATATATATATATATATATATATATATATATATATATATATATATACTAGCTGTACCCGGCCACGCGTTGCTGTGGCATAGTTTGGCTAAATTGAAATGAAAGAAAATAGAAATCGCACGTGTCTAATACAATCATTGTCTGCTCAGATAAGAGATAGTCGTTGATCCCCGCCCCCCCCCCCTCACCACCACAACTAAATCCACCTACTACTCTCTCCCTCATCAAAGGTTTTTGGAAAAGAAAGACAATGGAAATCGCTCGTGTCTGATATAGTTAATGTCGCAATCATTTTCTGCACAGATATAGAGATAGTCTGGTTTTCCAACTTTAGAACACGCACCTTATAATTGTGTCTTTATATTATTGGTCGTTTAAATGGGGTTTTTAGCACAGTAACAATAATGGTTATTTGGTTATCACATGCTAAAGCTGTTTGTATTTTTATAGGAGAAGGAAGTAAAGCTACAACTGTACTTGTAAATAACAAAGTAAGTCGTAAAAAATAGAAAAGCGGAGGTAGCATTAGTAAAATATAAACAAATTAGGTAATGAGAACATTGAAAATCACGTGTAAAGCTCTTTAAGTTCTCTTAAATTTAAGTCATTACCCCCTCCCCTCTTCCACCGACTACTGCTCTCTCCCTCTTCGAAGGATTTGAAAATCATTACCTGGAGATATTTTTGTTGTTGCTGTAACTGACATTGACATCCCTGTCCATCCGGACTAAAATGGGGAGCAGGAATTGTAATAGGTAGTGAATGGAGCTAGTGTAATATTTACCACATCATCCTTCAAGTACCAGTACAACTACTACCACGACCACCACCACAGTAGCTAAAATAATGTCACTGCTATCTGTGTTACCATCGAAGTAGACAGAGAGTCGTGAGCCAGAAGATTTGGTTCCGCATGGCTAGTGCTGTCGCCACAGACTGGTAAAGTTAGGATGTATAATTTTGCTTCCCGACAGAAGAACGCCATAACCTTACCGGCGGTCTTCACATGAGAGCACTACGGTGTAACAGCCCAACCACAACTATTACTGCTGCTGCTACTTTTAGTGGGTAAATCAGTTACTGTGACTTAAAGCTCTCTCAGTTAACAGTTTGCCCCCCCCCCCTTTTTCCAAAAAAAATAATTTACCGACAACTCTTTCCCTCATTGAAGTAGTTGAAAGAAAAAAAAAAAAACACACTTGAAAAGCAAATGAAAACAGGGAAAAAAACACACCATAATTAGGAAATTAACGCTATGGTAAACAGCACAGCTTAAAATTCCAACGCGGATGAAATAACTAAATCTAAATGAAAATAAATGGAAAGCTATGAAATTTCAGCGTTACCATGCAATCGGAAAGTTTAAAAATGCAATCATAAGTATGCGAAATGGTCAAATTTAATTATCAAATAGTTTACCCGTTTATTATTTTAGTCCAGGGTGAAAAAAAAAAAATTTACTACTGCGGATTCGAGCCCTGGTCTCCAGCACAGGAACCCAGTGTTGTAACCATTCGACCAAGCAGCCACTTCATAGGAGCAACGAAAAGAGAACTAAACTATTGAGATGTGTGGCCCTAATACTACTGTGTCTGATTATAACACAACTCAAAACCGCAGGCAATTGTTTTCTCATAGACAGATACTCCAGATATATTAATGAAACGGCACAACAATAGAAATCGCACGTGTCTAACACGGTTAATGAAGTTAATGTCGCAGTCAATGTCTGCGCCGACGTCGAGATAGTCCTTGATGCCCCCCATCCCCCCTTCCCATCGAAAGTTGTTTTAAAAAAAAAAATAGAAATCGTGTTTAATATGGTTATCGTGGCAATCACTGCCTACACAAATATAGAGATAGTCTTGTTTGCTGTACTACGACCTACTCTATGTTATTAGAGAAGGCGTTGGCTGCACGTAACTCGCCGGCGAATAGCGGAAGACTTGCGTTCTGACTACAGCGCATGCGCAATTACTAACGTGGCTATAATTAGATGTCACTAACAATTTAAATATTAGTTTCGAATATTTTTGCTTAAATTGTGGTCACCTACCTCTAACAGTCACAGGTTGAATTTCAAACCATGATGGTTTAACATCCGGTATCAAAACAAACATATCCTGAAAATTTCAGCTAAATCGGTTCAGTAGTTTCCGAGTCTATAGGGGGCAAACAAACACACAAACATTGATTATATATATATATGACGGATACACATAAATAACACAGGGAAAACAAGTTAGTGACAATGAATGATGACGAAGACTATGTCAATAATTTATTAAAATGAATCACTATAGTGACAACTAAAAGACAGTGTCTACTTGAAAGAGAAGAAGAAAACAAAAAGAAGATGATGGATGGAGACAGACAAAATAAATGTATAAATGTTATTACCAAATTCAAAATTTATTTACAGTGTCACCTGGAAATAACAGAAACCAATGGCAAACGTCATACGACAAAGGGCTGTAACAAGTGCTACTAGCACATTTGTAGATGGAGACACAGACGAATCCAGGAAGATCATCAGTGACCGGGTCCTGTTTTACTGTACAACTTATCTCACCATCGTTCTAACATCCGTGATCTCTTCACTGGGTGTCATCGCTAATATCCTCAACATGATCGTCTATTGGAAGCAAGGAACAAAAGACAACGTCAACGTTACCTTCATGGCATTATCACTTTGGGATTTTGGTGTTTGCTTTTTGTCTGTTTTAGCTTCAGCCTGTTTTGTTTTAGAAATCTATTTTCCATCGCCAAATATAGACTATATGTCTATTCTTTACGTATACATTGCTTATGCTAGAGGACTTATGTACGTTCTGTCTACAATCGTAACTGTGTATCTGTCGATTGAAAGATGCGTTTGCATAATACTTCCATTCAGGATAAAAGAAATATTTCCGAAATCCCGGGTGGTGCTGGCAAATGTCATGTTTGTCTTTTTTGGTGTGGCTTTCATTGGTCCAGCCTGGGCCACACAGGGTGTTCAGTGGGAGTTTAATCTGAGACACAACATGACTCGTTTGACGCTGTGGCTGTCTGTCAACAGGCGAGACATTGATCTCTTCGTTGATACATTTAACGGTATGGTGTTGCCAGTAGTTGCTCAAGTACTGATCACTGTAAGCGCTGGGTTTATGATTCAAGGCATCACCAAGTCAGTTAAATTCCGACAGCCGTCAGCAAATATTATGAAAAGCAAAACAACAAATTACAATGAGGAAACAGTACAAGCAACCAGTGCATTGCAATCCCTTAACAAGGCAATGACAAGCAAAGATGTAAAACTTACTAAAGTTATTGTATTGTTAGCCTTTATTTTTTTCTTCTGTAATTTGCCAGTTTTTCTGGTTGCCTTTATTAGAACTATGATTCCCGAGTTGGATATTGGCAAAGGGCAATATAATTTGTACATAGTGCTCTATGCAGCTGTCTATCAGTGTGTGCTAATCAACTCAACGGTCAGTATTTTTGTGTATTATAACTTTAGCACCAGATACCGACGCGAGTTTTTAACTATGTTCTGCAGACTGCTTGCGCCATGAAGACACTCTAACTCAATGGTTACATTCTGAGGGAGAGCAAATCGTTTTTTCCCCTCTATTTCTTTAGTAGAGGGCAAATAAGAAATGTTACAGAGGGAAAGCAGACAAAAAATACAACACGTAAAGGTCCCCTATACTACTAACGTCAAACTGCCTAGAGAAACCCCAAAAAACAAACTGATACTAGGTTATTTTTATGCATTCTGCAAAGGATATGCAACAAACACCCTAACACTAAGAACAAACGGGCAGACAAGATGACAGACACAGGCTTGTTTCACGTGGTGATAGAGGCAGACAAAGTAGCATCTACGATGATATAAAACAGCTCACTGAATCAGACACAGATACTTCGTGGACTATCGACCGTTGTCCGATTCCAATCCTGTTGACCTGTACCCGACTGACGCATACACATAAATAACACAGGGAAAACTAGTTAGTGACATTGTATACAGAAACAGCCCTGTGGTTTGGTTAAGGATCTGTGCCAATGGAAGGGTTACATACATTGTGTTTCTGAAAGTGAGAGTAGTATCCAACAGGAATTTATGTGGGGCAGTGTGTCTTCGATATTCACCTAAATTCATTAAGAGTAGTTTGAAGGTTTCATGGATTTTTAAGAAAAGAATAAGAAAAAAGAAGACAAAGAAAGAAAAAATGAAAGAAAAACATGAAATACGACGGAAAAAGAAGAAGGAAGAATAAAAAGAAGGAAGAACAAGAAGGAAAAAAGAAGGAAGAAAAAGTAAGAACAAAATGTAAAAAAAAAAATAAGGAAGCAGACGAAGGAAGAAGAAGAAAGACGAAAAGCAGAAAGAAGAAGGAAGAAAAAGGAATAAAAAAGAAGAAGAAGAAGAAGAAGAAGAAGAAGAAGAAGAAGAAGAAGAAGAAGAAGAAGAAGAAGAAGAAGAAGAAGAAGAAGAAGAAGAAGAAGAAGAAGAAGAAGAAGAAGAAGAAGAAGAAGAAGAAGAAGAAGAAGAAGAAGAAGAAGAAGAAGAAGAAGAAGAAGAAGAAGAAGAAGAAGAAGAAGTTGAAGGCGGGGGAGAAAAGAAAGAAAAAGAAGAAAAATCTGAAGAAAACGAAGAAGTAGAGGACGAGAGGAAGAAGAAGAGGCAGAAGGAGAAAAGGAAGGACACAAAGGAGAGAAATAAAAATAATAATAACAATAATAATAAATGATATTTCGTTGGTTTTTATTCTATATGACCTGATCTGTCTTCGCCAAAAGAGACAGTCACCTGTCGAGACAGTCGAATAAAGCTCAAACACTGATGCTTTCGTGACGATGAATTCCAGGAATCTCCTAAAATATGCTCCACTGAACAGCATTTATTTATGAGTTTTAAGTCAACAGCCGACCTGTAGCACTCGGGGGATTTTCATAAACACTCTGTCCCCATCTTCAGCAGCAAGTGCAGAGTTCCAGTCTCGGTGGAACCAGCAACAGTCTAATTGCATATTCGTCTCCCACACCCCTGAGTGTTGAGCGTTGACCAAATCCACTGTCACTCTTGGCTCTACGATTCTCTTCGACAGTAATGATCTATTTAAATAAGAACACAAACAGTTGCGTATCTTTAACCGGACGTTGCAGAACCAACCCCAGCATTTCTTGGTTGTTGTGGCTTTTCAAGGCAAATTTTACGCTTAGTGGTTTGTTATTTTATTTCTGGACGGTCAGTTCTCAGTGCCACGGTCGAAGCCAACGCAAGAAAAACCGTCTGCAGCTGGGATCGAAAGTGGCACCCCGGCATTACGACGCCTGTTCGCAACGCTCAAGCGACAGTGAAAAGAAATGTGGCTTATGTATTGCGAAGGCGCTTCATAATTTCGAATTCATCATCATCATCACGTGCTGTGCCGGTAAGTGTAGACCGTCATGTTTGGTTATCTCCCACGACAACCATAATCACGGATCAGGTCAATGTGCCTGTTTTGCCCTAGCCATCTATTCAGGCCACTGAGGTATTTATCTCCATGCCTTTCTCTTGCTCTCCTTCATCAACCTTGCCAGCTGTCACCAAGTTCTCTTCTCCATTTCTTCTCATAACATGTCAAACAAATATCTACCTCATTATCAAGTTTATGAACTATATTATGTCTTGATGAGGGCTGATTTGTTTCTTTTTGAAGCCATTAATAACATTCTTTCAAGAAAAGATATGAAAATGATGGAAAAACATATTAACAAACTTCACAATATAACGAACACAAACATATCTTGAACTCTGCTGCTTTAGAGCCTTTATCAGCACATACATACATAAAACAATACTATACAAATACACAAACACACTTAGCTTAGTACCTCGAAGAAGCCTAGTCTATGTCTAGTCACTAGACTGGCCAGACACATACAAGGTCCGACAATTAAGTAATGAGACTCATTATATTATAGCCAAGACAAAAAAGCCATCTATGAAGCAACGCATGGAATCTAAAGATGCAACATTCATTTATGATCTGACAACTTTTCATCTCCGCTCGATACGCAGACAACAAACAAGCCGCCATTTTGTTGACCCAGTCCGAGGTGTATTGTTACAAAATCAGCGCGGAGCAAAAAGCTAACATTAAATTATTTTTAAAACTCAGAAAAAGCGCGATTGAAACAGTTCAATTGATGCAACAGGTTCATGGGGATAATTGTTTATCTCGTGCACAATTTTTCAGGTGGTATTCAAAAGTGGTGTGGAAATGATTGCTTATGCACCTAGACTATGACTCCAAATTTATGTTCGTAATGATGAACTCTTTGCAAAATTAAGAGATCATTGTTTTACTGTGAGGATGATGGCAGATGAATCTGGTGTTAATAGAGAGACCATTTATAACATTTTAGTGCAAGCTTTTGGCACCCCAAAAGAGTTGCTTGCCGGTTTGTACTACTATCGTTGTCTGATGACCAAAAAACATCAGCGGGTTGAGTACCCAAGAGAAATCATCAAAACAAGAATTTCTAGCCCAAAAACAAATGTGTGTTCTCAGCCTTCCACCCTATTCCCCAGACTTGTCTCCCTGTGACAATTTTCTTTTCTCAAAATTAAAGTTACAATTGAAAGGACGCTTCTTTAACGATACTCATGACATCCAATGGGCCGTAACATCGACTTTAGGGGCCATAACAACAGAAGAACTACAGAGGTCGTTCCAATGTTTTTGAGATAGTGCCACTCGCTGTATCAATGCACAAGGGGCTTACTATGAATCAGATACAGGTAACATCTTTAAATGTTGATTATTTTAATTTATATGGAATTAGTCCAATTACCTAATTGCCGGACCTTGTAGGACAGTAGAATAAATACTCCCGGGGAATGTCAGGGGCTGTAACTGAAAGGTTTTAGATGAAACTGTGTTTGCAGTTCAGTCCTCTAGGTGTAAAAGAGTCCAAAGTGAAAATAAAGCGATTTTTAAGAGACTTGCAGGCTCTGTCATTAGACTGGCTGTTAACTCCAAATCGTGAACACCTTGATGATCCTGGGAATTATTGTGCAATGCTACTGGCTACTCGCACCGTTCTGCACACTTAAAACATGTTGTCCGAACCTGTCAGCCAGTCGTAGACTGGTTTCAGCGACGTATTTAATGCCAAATCTCTTTCAGTTGATGGCGTATTCTTTGCATTTAATTAAAACTATATTTTTGACGCGAGTAATTTTGATGTTGTTGTTGTTAGCTTGTCTGCTTAATGTAGATGTCTAACATGCATTTACAACACATGTTCTTCACTGTACTTAAACACTCTAACACAACTAACATAATTTCGAATTAACCAGAGATCGATTCAACTGCACTTGATTTGGCACAAAATAATATGGGGTGCCGACCCTTTAAGAACTAATGATGGCTAATAAACGTGCAGTTTCCCAGTAAAACCACAAAACTGCCCCAAAATGCTGGGACAATATCTATGTAGTAAGTCATTTTCTACATGATAAATTATGATAATAGTAGGAATAACGTAAGATCATGAATATGAATTACATATTTTAATTTACCAGGGGCTGACTCTGGCATGTGGAGTGGAGAAAGTGTTTGTATCAAGTTTAAAACGAAAATGTACATCCGATGTATTTGTGAGTTTTCAATGCCCAACATGGCCTTCAGCTGGAACTGACAGTCAGCGCTGAACTTGTCTATGTTTTCTAGTCAAGGAAAGTTGTCATGTTCAGCCGCCGTTGTGTGAAGGGACACTTTTATATTCATCCAAAGGTTACGTTGACATTATTCGATGTGTGGATATAAACTGATGTTCCCCTAGACATATGTTATGCCTCACCATGTACTGACCAAAGAATCAGCAAGTGAATGAGTAAAAAAAAATTGACAATGGATCGTGTCGTTCAATGTCGTCCATCTTTCACCTGTTGAGATGACAGTCAGTGCACGGGTGAGAAGCTGCAAGCAACTGGAGCCAAATTAACGGTAAGGTGAATCATTGCAATCTGCAACTTACATCTTATGCGTTTCTAGAAGTTACCAGTATGATAATGCATCCGCTAGGATAGACGAGGGTTAGTCTTTCTCTAAGAGAGTTGAGACGTTTGCGTAAACCAACTGAGAATTGTGAATCTGCAACTATGGTCAGACTTAAAAAAGCGCAACATGTTAAACGGGGTGTCGCCAACACAAGAACACTACGCGGGCAGTCAAAGAAGAAGAATAAACCAACACAGAACTGGTGTCGTTAGCCGCTACACGCTGCGGGATTTACTGAGGAGGGGATCTGAGCACTTATGGAATGAGACGTTCGACGTGCAATAAGGATAATCTGTCGACTAACTAACTAACTAACTAACTAACTAACTAACTAACTAACTAACTAACTAACTAACTAACTAACTAACTAACTAACTAACTAACTAACTAACTAACTAACTAACTAACTAACTAATCTTTCTGGCTGGAATTATCTAGGTCCTCAAGTAAAACAATCCAACAGAAATTGGACTCGGTAAATAGGCGCCAGAACCAGGTAATACTATTTCGACCTA